CTAATGGAGTGATGAGCATCACACTGAGTTTGAGTTAGACAAAACAGTGCTAATCTGTCTTTCTAGAACCTGAATACTCAGTGAAATGAACTCAAGCAAGTCAGTACCAGCACCAAAACCTGCAATAGTAATTCAAAACCATACAATCCAGCCATCAAAGTCTCACAAATTCCTAGGAGTCATCATCAATGAGAACTTGAACTTCAAGGAGCATTCCACACAGGCCCTGGCAAAAGGCACCAAATACACTCTAGCTTGCAATAGAATGATTCGTCCTATGAAAGATATCAAGGGCTGTTTGATGAAAAGACTATATGAGGGTGTTGTAATACCTAAAATGCTTTATGCAGCTGACATGTGGTGTGTAGGATTAATATTGAAAGACAGAGGTGCACAAGGCTTCACATTGCAAATAGTAAGAGTTTAGCAGATGGCAACACTAATGATAACAGGTGAAATGAGATCTTCAGTTACAAACATCTTAGACGTGGATGCTAACATTTTTTCCTTCCAACAGATGCTACAAAAACTGCTTGAAAGCTGTGCTCAGAATGGCCACACTACCTGCTACCCACCCCTTAGCAAAGGATATCAAGAAAGCATATGAGTATGGCACCACATGCAACTTTTGAAAACCCAAACACCATCCATCCCCACTTCACACGCTAGCATATGAATTCACACTGAACCCTAAGATAATGGAGAAAATCCTACCAACCAGACATTACCCAAAGTGGAAACCAGATGTAGAAGTGGAGATAGCTGTTAAGACCGTACTCAAGTAGTATCGGATCCGAAGGGCTTCAGCCTCAGCTCGTGCGCTGTGCCCCTTTCCCGAGTCTTGCCCCTTATTTCAGAGAGCTAAAGTATCGTGTCTAGTGAGACGGATAAGTATTGTAACGGATAAGTCTTGTATCGCAACGGATCCGTTAAGACTTCCGGATATCGAACGTATAGAGTAACGGCTAATCCGGATCGGATCCGGACTAGAAACTAACGGGTGAGGACTGTCCGAATGACAGAGGCGGATATGTAGACTATAGGAATCTATCCTAAGTCTCGGAGTAGACAAGAGTAGCGTACTCAAGTCTGGACGGATAACAGGGGGACTTAGAGTCCAGACGGAATGAGTGCAATCTAAGATGATATTCAAACTGATCTACTACAGCGCATATACAAAGGTTTATATACTACGGATGGCTAACGGAATGATCAATAAGCAAAGGTGCGAGGCTATGAATGAAAGTATAAGCAAAGTCTAAGTGGAGCGTATTGGTAAGTTGGATGGATCACGAATCATGAACCGGGAATGAAGTACAAGTAAAAGCGGATTCGTAAGTGTAGCGGATCAGTAAGCAAAGCGGAAGTAAAGGATAACCGGTATACCGGTGTACAGGAATACCGAAAGGAGATGAACGATAGTTAGAGTTATATGAACAGGAAATGAAATAAGAATCAAAGCGGATCTGTGGACCGGACGACGGATATGTTCATCGGATCTGGATCGGATCTGAGATCCAGATCATCGGATCTGAGATCCGGATCATCGGATCTGTAGCCGGATATATGGTATATGACAATAGCTCACAAGAAGGAAGAGGTGGCGGACAATAATGAAAGAGCTACAAAAGACTTGAGAGTATACTTGGATGGCTCAGTAATTGATAGGGGGGGGAGGGTAGGAGTAGCAGCAGTGCTTATGCAGGGAAAAGAGGTCATAGACAAGTTGAGGTTCTATTTGGACAAGGAGAGCGAACATATGGTGTATGAGGAGGAGATAATGGAAATGATTCTAGCAGTCAAATTGATGAGAAGAGCAGAAGGAGGAAGATCCATGGTGCTAGGGCTGGACAATCAGGCAGCAATATGATTAACAAAAACTTTCAACTCACAACCAGGACACTACCTCATGGATATCTTCCATAATAACCTGCAAATGCTAATACTAGACAATGACAGAAGAGAGCTGATAGTGCAGTGGGCTCCAGGTCACATTGGTATATCCAGCAATAAAGAAGTGGATAAGAGAGCAAAGAGAGCAGTGCGCAAAGACACCACAAGGGGCACCCTCCCTGAATCGCTATGCACAAAATTGTCAGCACCCATAATCCTTCCTGTTAGCAAATCCACCACACTGCAAACGTCCAGAACCAAAATCAAAAAGAAAGCCTCAAGAACAGTGCATTTCTTTCACCAATGGTGCATATAAGTCTGATAGGTACATGGGAAGATACTGACATCAATCCAGTCTTCCACATCAAAAATCCTTGTTAAGATGGCAAGTCTCAACTTCTTCTTTGTCATTATCATCTTCTATTTTTTTGCAATGAACAATGTCCCTTCTTATGACAATGAAAGCACTTTCTGTTTTGGTAATGCTTGTTCCTTTCTTTCTTGGTCAGGTGGTCTATCTCCATGGTATCTCAATCCTTTGCAGGGATATAGGGAAAAGATCTGTAGTTCTTCTTCAGAGGTAGGACTCTAGTGTATATCACATTGAGGTGGGTGTGGTAGTTATCAAGGGATATACAAGTCTCAAGAACTGTATTGAAGTCATCAGACACATCTCCCATGTTGTAAAGACAAGAGAGAAGCACAAAGTTTAACCTGTCCAAGAAGAATTGCTTTTTGGAGGTGTTGTGTGTTATCTTTGCTTCCCAAGTGAGCATTTGGAATTTGGCAATATAAGTTTGCAACTCCCCATTGTTCTGTTTGAGTGCATGGATCTTTGCAAGAGCAATCCCAGTGGGGTCAATAGGTTTAAAGGCTGTACAGAGACTGGCTAAAAGGTTGGCCCATGTTCCATAGCTAATGGCTGTACCACTATCATCAACATTCATGGGGTTTTGTGCTGCTCTAAGAAAGTCTTCCTTCCAGAGCAACACATTTTCTTCATTCAGGAAGGACATTGTGAAGATAATCTTCTGCTTCTCATCTTTACAGATTTTTTTGGATTCCAATGTCCCTAGTGGAGGACAACATGGGGGGGGTGAAGCTAAGTTCCAGGGGGGGGGGTATAGGCATGGATGAGCCTAGGCTCAGAGCACTGAAAGAAGGTGTTAGGGATGTCAGATTGACCTGGCTTTATCTATTGTGATAATTAGAGTTTATTAATCAACTATCTTGTTTCAAGGATGTTTCAGTGTCATTGATGTCAACACATAATCAGTACTTTAATTTTTTGTTATGAACTGGGATAGTTCTAATCATCAAAGTTCAAAAGAGAACCACTCTGGTGATGAGCAGTGTCTACTCTCAAATAAGAGGGGTTCAAGATAAGTGCAGGAGAGTATCCTCACTTGAATCAGATTCAGACAGCTTAAGTGAAGGAGATCCCAGGTGATACACAGTAAGATTAAAGTGAGGTATACAGACTGTAGGTATGTACTTAAATAGACCATATGGAGTACACAAACCAGGACGGATATGGTAAGTACAGGACAGGTAGGTAATATAGTATAGTACATAGTTTTGGAGTCTAGCAGTGGCATAAAGCAGCTTGTGATGTAATACAATGGTGAGTAAAGAAAAATGAATATGGGTGTATATAACTGTAACAACTTGTTCATCTTGATTTACTTTGATAGTAAGGAAATAAAGTATGAACAGTAAGAAGTAAGCTAGTCTAGACTTGTTGCAATACAATTTGAAGGCATATTATGGAACATAAGGAATTAGTGGTTTTACTGATGTGCACACTGGATCATGGAGGAGATAACTGTCCTTATCAACCACATGTATGATAATCTCACAGACAGTGATCTATCATTTGATCAAATAGTATGATGAACAATAAACAATGTCCCGCCAATAATGTTTGGCCTTTCTTTCTAGTTTCAACACTATTTGTAAGAGAAAAGTGCAACAGCAAACTGAGTGTACAAATATCTTGGTAAACACAAAAATTTGTCTAATTAAGAACTAGCAAACATTTGAATCTTGTGACTGTTTGCTAGTTCTTGATTAGACAAATTTTCGTGTTTACCAAGATATTTGTACACTAAGATAGGCCTCAAGCAGTTTTGGTAGATGCCACATGCTATGCGTAACAAAAGCAATGAATGTATATAGGATATTTGTAGTGACAATATATATATAAATAGAGATGGAAGAGTTGTAGTGTATGTACTTCTGGACGAGTTGTCTATTACAGAATTACCATTTGTGCAAAATCAAAGGAGGAGATGGCAATACAAGCAAGATGCAAGGTATACATTCACGGTAAAGTCACAGCAAGTCACATCTTGCTTGTGTTGCCATCTCCTCCTTCAATTTTGCACAAATGGTAATTCTGTAATGGACAACTCGTCCAGAAGTACATACACTACAACTCTTCCATCTCTATATATATATATATTGTCACTACAAACATCCTATATATATTCATTGCTTTGTCACGCATAGCACGTGACATTTACTGAAACTGCTTGAGGCCCATCACTACTGGGGTCCGCAATATTTAGGACAGGTTTGAATGTTGTGCGAAATGTTGAGATAATACTTAATATTTAGGTTGTCATCTAGGCACATGTAAAATTTCAAATGTTAAAGAGATCTTGCACGACAACAGAAATATAATGTATCAGCGAACATTTTGTTACTGTCTGAATGTCAATGATAATAAGAAATATAAATATATCTTTAATGCTGGCCTATACTTTGAAATGAAACTTCACATTTAAGACTTGAAAAAACTTCAACAATCGCACATGACTGAATGTCTGCTCATATATGAAATTTAGACCACTACTTAGATGGGTGTTTAAATTTAAAATACCTCCTGATGATAAAATGTGAAGCTAAAACATCAAGTTTTGTCTCCAGACAAAATTAATCACCTGACAATCGCCCACTCATGAGTAGATATTCTCCCATTTAAAGAAAACTCATATTCCACATTCTAATACTGGTACAGTATTTACATATTGTAAGGATGGAGTGTTTGATGCCACGGAATCAATTCATGTCGATGCCATGGTATAGTAATCATACAAGGTCATCTAATTGTCTGTGAAGGCTGAGAGGAAATCAGAGATGTACAATAAACAACAAAAAAGATAGCTTACCACTTGCTTTCGTGGCGAGAAAGTTAGAATATGTTTCCAAGGCGTGTCTGAAACTAGCCTTTGCATTGAGCAGACCAGAACCCCACATCCAACCCTGACCCAGCCCAGGCCTGAGGCCTTGGCCACCAAGACAATTTTTCAATGCATCTGTTATCTAATGTTTCAAATATGAGCGCACTGCAGGTCAATATGAATAGGGAAACTTACTTGTGTACACATAATAGGGCCCGCAAATGAAATCAACCTCCTCTTCCAACAAATCGTCGTCAAAGTGAGTCTCGCCATTGAGAGACAATATTTGTCCAAATGGGACAGCATCCTGTGAAATGCCGATCAGGGCCGAGGGGAGGACATCAAAGCCAAGGCTATGTAATGCTAGCTGCCATAAAATCCCACTGCGAAGAAGAGCAGCTCATGCACAATCCTCCTTCATGAACTTGTGGCGATACTGCTCATATATTGAGATAAGAAACTCAAATGAACACATTCAGAGTCGACAAGGGAGTCCTGGGTGCCAGGTCCCAGTGATCGGACGGGATCTCAGACAACTGAGATGTGGGCAGGGTAGCAAGGTAACCTACGAAGCATGTAATGATATGCTTTTGCACATCTGAAATCGAGTCAACATCCTTGCCTGAGTCCTCGACAATGTTGCAAACATGGCTGAACTTCTGCTTCTTGACCCAACTTTCAAAAGTGGCAGATCCACCAATGGATCTAGTAGTTGATGCTGCCAGATGAAAGACAAGGTGAAACCATAAGTGGGTGACAAAGTGTTCCACACCCTCAGTATAATCAGACAAGGGTGCAACCTCATGACGTCTAAAGTAGTTGCAAATGTCCTGCAGGAAGCTGGACAACGATGGAGGTGCAGGGGGTGGTGGCGGCAGAGGATCAGGGATGGGGTCCAAGAAATTGAAGTTGTCTTCTTCCCAGTCACCGTTGGGGGTGCTGGTGGAATCTAACTGATCACACAAGTCCCACTCATTTCTGAATGAGTCGAACCATCTGGTGGAGTTACTGTAGTTCCCCCAGGTCATCGGTACCTCGGCCTTCATGAGATGGATGCATAGCAAAAAGCCCTCAAACTCGTCTTGAGGTTGCCCTCCAAATACCATGACCATTGTCATGCATGGTATGTGACTCATACCATGACATATACATAGCAGGAGTAATAAGGAAGATATAATACACCAGACTGTATCCTATCACCAAGTTACCCCATCATTTCCCCTTAGTTATTAGCTAGTATTTTCACTTTCAAACTTCACTTCCATTCTTCCATGTATTTCTATTTTGTTCCATGGGATTCTATCTCTTTCCATTTTTTTCTAGGCATATTTGACCATCAGACTTCCTCTCCAGCCACAAAGCATGTTTATAAGCTTGTCATGTGATTGGTTAATAATCTGATTTGTGAGGATTCAACTTGACTCATCATGTTTTTGTCATGATTAGTCATGCTTTGTAAGACTTGCAAGTGTATTTATAAGCTACTTAGTAAGAAGGCTGATTCAGCTCACTCAAAAGATTGGTTTGTAAGCATGTTCTTACCAATCCATGGGATGACTTATGTCTTTTATTCATCTTTCTTTGTAATATTACATTATATCAATAAGCTAGTTAGTAAATAAGCTGGCTCAACACACCAAAAGGATTGATTTGTAAGAATGTTCTTACCAATCCATGTGCTGAATCATGCTTAGTGAAATGGCCTCCAAAAAGGTATAAAAGGAGCTCATTTTGCCACTGTCAATCTAAGCTTCCCACTTTAAACCCTGTTCTCAAATCAAGTGAGATTATCTAAGAAATAAAGTGCAGGCAAAACTAGTGCCTTGAAGTAAGACTAAGAAATATCTATCTGAGTTATATACTACCTTACAGGGGCTGACTATATAACAAACTAACCTACTAAACTTAAACTAAACTTCACACATACAAATAGCCTCTCTCTTTTACAGGAAGGGAGACACAAGCTAAGAGAACTACTTCACACTGAGGCAAACTTTCATAGGGTGAAATAAACCTATTCAATTGACAAAGGCCTCAAAGCAAACCTACAGAGAGAAAACAAGAAGGGGACATTTTTAAGTAAACCCTCCCAAGAACTCACACATTATCTACCATGAAAACTAGAAAAGTCATAGACAGTGTACTTAAGGACTGGCAAGAAGTCTTATCCTATATAGTTGTACTGTCACTGTATACGCATTACATAAGACCCTTAAGTAAGAGGACACCATGCTGGACTGTCCAGGAAGATTATGGCTCTTCACTGCCTGTTCCCGACTCTCACGTGATTGACATTGAGCTGGGGATTCCTTCTCCTGCTTCTTCCGATTTTCCTCAAGGCACCACACAAAGAAGGCCTTCCAGTCTTCTCCTGATTTTTGGCCACTGAGTTTTTGAGGGACTGGAAAGCGAGAGTCCACTTGAGGACTTTCAGGTGCGGGCCCCCATCCAAGGGTGGTCTGAGTTGCATTGTCACCCAATCCAAGGGCACTCTGTGTCTGAGTTTCACCATCCCGCTTACCCCAGACACCATCATCCTGACCCCAGGTGCTGTTACTTGGGTGCTGTGCCTCAATTGCATGGGCAACAGCTTCTTGGGACAGGTTATAATGACGCAAATTTGTGTGGAAGTTTTGTTAGCAGTGAACCCAGATTGAGATTGACAAGTGTTCGAACATGGGTAGTTGTAGTTCCAAAGGGCAGTGAACAGAGGATATGAAGACACCTGTGCACAGAACCTTAGTCGACAGATCTCCAACAAATGAACACAACAATTCACGAACCCATTTGGCTGGTATGGGGCATCTGGGGTCATCGGTGAGGAGAGCCATCCATGGATGATTTGATCCATGATATTGACGAGTCATGATGTGCCATGAGCACACAGCAGCGATTACTAGACATGTGTCAGTTGTGATGAGATTGAAGACATGGTTCACGTATGTAGAAATGTGTTGCAAGATCTCGTTGCAACTTTCTTAGCAAGCTTCACTGTCCTGCATGATTTGGGAATCATGCATGGACATGACTACTAGGTATCCCCCTAAAAGACAAAGTCTGTTAGCTTAGTCCTCAGACCAGTCAACCCATGCCTTGGTATCAAACCTTAGTCCAATAGTTTCAGTTTTCCCTCAGTGATTCATAAATGAAAATCTACCGTGTTTTGAAGAAAAGTCATATGTGAGATGGGAATCACATAATGACCTAGTTAATATAAGAAGCAATTTGAAGGTTAAGGTATTGCCTTTCCTTTGGCTTATTCACTTTTGCTAGAGAAAACCATAGAGAAAAGTTCAAAGCCTAACAAAAACCTATCTAAAAAGCCCATGTATTGTGTACTATTATTTGTTCTATTATTTCTGAGTAGTTTTCTCTAGTGTTTCTTTACTTTACTTTTCTATTAGGATGCTCTGACCAATCAAATGCTTCATAAAATTGTACCTACAGGGTATGATGTCATAATGATGTCATCAATTCCAGGATGTTCTATGGAATTTGCTAGAACATTCCAATGACTCATAATGACTTGTAATGACTCAGAGTGACTCAGAATGATGTCATTATCCCACCAGGAATATTCTGGAATGTTCTTTTGCACCTGCTAGAACATTCTGCTCCAGTTTTTGCAATATTCTTCTCACATTCTGATGTCATTGTTTCACCTTTGTACTTACATAATATTCCCACACAGAATGTATATAAGGAGAGCCCATTCTCCCCCCAAAAAATAGAATCTCCTACTTGAAAGAATTGAGCTCTCACCTAAGAAGTTTCAGACTGAACAGATTGCTGCTTAGAAAGCACATTTCCTTTCTAAGTACTGTCCAGACAAGTGTAGGGACAGTATTTCCCTTGAGATTACATAAGTTTCTCGTGATAGAAACTCAGTTTTGTGAGACCAGCTTTCTCACCATGTATCATTTACTGACCAACATGAGCTTTGGTCATCATTGTCATTTGTGAGACCAGTTTCTCACCAGTATTTTGTATATTGACCAACATGAGCCTTGGTCAACCCTAATGTATCTGAGACTGTTGTCTCATCAGAAAGCCGTATATTCAGGAAACCAGTTCAAGTGTTTAGACAGTATATCCTAGACAAGCCCATAGTTTCAATCAGAGATAATAAAGCTCCAGCTAAGTTAATTTAATTGATTGGTTTAGCGAGCCTCCCAAGAACTCACACATTATCTACCATGAAAGAAGAAAAGTCATAGACCATGTTAATCGAGGACTGGCAAGAAGTCTTATCAAGTGTAATTGTGGGGGGCTGCATGGTGTAGTGGTACCATCACCTGCTGTCTGGGTAAAATCCGGAAGAAAGTGAGAAAGGACTCGAGTTCGAGCCCTGCCCCTGCCCCCAGACGAAAATAAATTTTATTATCTCTGGGTTTCAGCCACTTTGATGTGCATTGCACAGCCACAACTCTATCAATCCGGTCAGCATGACTCATATATACCACATTCGGAAGGGCAGGTGGCCCAGTGGGGAAGATACCAGGAACTGATGGCAACGTGTGGCGTGAGATACCCACACGGTTGGGACTGGGGAACCTGACAGTTATCTAATTACCAACTTTGGCCTCACAATGTGGCACTTTGGTGCTGTTGTTAGTCGGGTGGGAAAAATGCAGAAAGGAGCATGGAGATCACGAGGCTGTTCACATCACATGATTTACTCCGCACTATCATGCCACACAAAGGACAAGACTCTGACAGCCGGAGTCACTACTAGGGTTAAAAGGGGGTTACACAAGCAATAAGGAGGGGGGTGAAAGAGTTATATTCAGAAGCATTGGGGGGCACTGTCAAGTTATCATTTACCTTAACTCACACTCATCACACCATTTCTCCCACAACTTTACCATACCAGTAGCTTCCTTTGTACAATCTGTCATTTGACAGGGAGTACACATTAGCATATGACATAAGCCAGACGAATATATCATTAAGTAGATTACACATGCATGTACTGTCTGACATAGGGTGCATACCCTCATGGACAATAAACTGGAATAAAATTCTAAATTTTAAAAAAGTGTAATTGTAGTGTCATTACATTCTTACACATATTTATATAAGACCCTCGGTTATCAAGACATTGCATCTGAATGCGACCTTTGGTACCCATATTGAGCAGGAGGGCATGCAAGTACAGTGCCCCATGGAATTAGGAGTCCAGCTCCCAAAAGCTCCTGGTGTCATATACCATATATCCGGTTACAGATCCGATGATCTGGATCTCAGATCCGATCCAGATCCGATGAACATATCCGTCGTCCGGTCCACAGATCCGCTTTGATTCTTATTTCATTTCCTGTTCATATAACTCTAACTATCGTTCATCTCCTTTCGGTATTCCTGTACACCGGTATACCGGTTATCCTTTACTTCCGCTTTGCTTACTGATCCGCTACACTTACGAATCCGCTTTTACTTGTACTTCATTCCCGGTTCATGATTCGTGATCCATCCAACTTACCAATACGCTCCACTTAGACTTTGCTTATTGATCATTCCGTTAGCTATCCGTAGTATATAAACCTTTGTATATGCGCTGTAGTAGATCAGTTCGAATATCATCTTAGATTGCACTCATTCCGTCTGGACTCTGAGTCCCTCCGTTATCCATCCGGACTTGAGTACGCTACTCTTGTCAACTCCGAGACTTAGGATAGATTCCTATAGTCTACATATCCGCCTCTGTCTTCGGACAGTCCTCACCCGTTAGTTTCTAGTCCGGATCCGATCCGGATTGGCCGTTACTCTATACACGCGATACTTTAGCTCTCTGAAATAAGGGGCAAGACTCGGGAAAGGGGCACAGCGCACGAGCTGAGGCCGAAGCCCTTCGGATCCGATACTACTTGAGTACGGTCTTAACAGTATATTCGAACTCATACCTTTCCGAGTTACTTAACATCTATCATGCCTCCTACCAAGACACAAACAACTCTGCACGCGGTTGGACTAACCTCCCTCCGTCGTGATCCGACACCTATAGTCAACACCTTCACCAGTTTCTCTCAGCGCCGTGTTAGCACCCACGGAACCGCTCAAACCATATCCGAACTCCTTAATCGTCGACACCCGGAAACCCCAACACGCACTCCTGCCGTAGGACCTCCGGACGATGATGATCCCGATGATGGTGATGATGATTTCCCTGGTAATCCACCCGATGATAACGGTGGTGATCCGGATGATGATCCGGATAGTTGAGGATGATGAAAATGACTGGTCTAAACCCACAAGACCGCGTTATGCTTCGACTCTCAGAAGCCATCGATAACCTTGCTCGCAATAATCGTCGCGCGCCCGCATCCGAAGATTCTAGAGTCAAGGTCCGAGAACCGGATACCTTCGACGGATCCGAACCACGGAAGCTCCGTGCGTTCTTTGTCCAGTGTGAGCTTAACTTCCAGAGCAAGCCTAAGGCTTTCCGTACCGGAAGGGCTAAAGTCAACTTCGCCCAATCCTACCTTAAGGGTATGGCCCTTGAATGGTTTGAACCGGATCTCCTGTCCGATGATTCGGACGACCATCCGGATTGGATGGATGACTATTCCGTGTTCATGCTTGAACTCCAAGCCAACTTCGGGCCTCATGACCCATCCGGTGATGCAGAAATGCAGCTCGAACAGCTCCACATGCGCGATGGACAGCGCATCAACAAGTACGTTGTGGAATTCCAGCGTCTTGCTTCACAGGTTCGTGGCTGGGGCGACGGAGCCTTACGACGCCAATTCTACAACGGACTCCCGGCCCGTATCAAGGATGAAATCAGTCGCATGGGTAAACCCTCTACTCTTTCCGAATACAAAGTCCTCGCTCAGACTATCGACGCCCGATACTGGGAACGGAAGGGAGAGATCTCTCGAGAAGCTAAACCCACTTCATCCACTACCCCTAAGCAATCCGCTTCTGACCGGACGAACTCCAATACGTCCGGATCCGGAAATCACAAATCCGGAAACTCCCATGATCAGAAGTCTACAAAGCCATCCGCGTCCTCGAACTCGTCCGCTCCTAAGTTCCGGATCTTACTTCCAAGCTGGGTAAGGACGGAAAGTTAACGTCCGAAGAGCGGCAGAGAAGGATGGACAAGAAACTCTGCTTATTCTGTGGTGGGCCCGGCCATACTGCTCGGGAATGCACCAAGTCTACTTCGCGTGCTGCCAAAGGCCGCGCTGCAGTAGTCGCTCCGGAAGTCAAACCGGATGTCTCTACTGAGACAAAAAAATAGTCCGCGACTCTCCTAGCTCCGTGCAGGAAGAGGGTCGCGTTGACTCTGCCTGCACAAAGGAGTTAAGACTCAACGCTGTCGCGCTCTCGGATCCGACTTCCCTCTGTCCATATGTTTCACTTCCGTTACTTCCATCCGTATCCGAATTTCCAGCTCTTGTAGATTGTGGTTCTTCTCATTGTTTCATAGATACTGCGTTCATCCGAAAACATAAAATCCCTACATATCCGATACCTACGATTCCGCTCCGCTTGTTTGATGGTACTTGTAATAATACTATTTCCGAAGCTATAGATTTGTCCGTCCGCTTTCCGTCCGGTGTAGTCACCTCTGATACGTTCTACGTTACCCCTTTGGATTCATCTTGTTTTATCGTTCTTGGATATAGCTGGCTCACCCGACACAATCCGTTGATTGACTGGGTTTTGGGCAGCATCGACTTCCGGACGACATCTCATGGAATGCCATCGACCCCTCCGACGTCACTTCCGTCCTCGGATATCCCTCCTCCGACGGAAACCATACCTCCTCCGACTACATCCGTACCCTCCGCTGATAACACTGTTCCTAATATATCCCTAATCAATGCAGTTGCCTTTTGCCGGGCCTGCAAGTTAGAAG